CTAAAAGCAAAAAAAAGCTACTTAATGTTGCTATACCCAGCAAAGCTCAGTTTCAAATTTGAGAAAAAAAAAAAAAAAAAAAAAAATCCCAAATCAAAACACTTGTGGTACCAAGCATTTAAGATAAGGGATAGTCAGCCCGTAGTATATAAAGCTGAAGAGGTTAAGAAGATTTTATTGTAAACTGTAACATTAAGAATACATAAAGGCATGGGGTTGTGGCTCAGTGGCAGGGCACTTGCCTTACAAGTATGAGGAAAATAAATAAATAAAATAAAGGTGCTGTGACAATCAAAACTAAAAAAATGTTTTTTAAAAAAGTATACATAGAAAAACAACAGAAATGGTTTTGTCAAACTTAAATGTGGCGTGTTCTACTTTAACTTCATTTTTTTTTTAAACTTTCATTTGTATCTGTATTTAGTTTCAGTGGGTCAACTGCCTAATTTCCAGATCCTTCAAAACCTGAGAAATCTTTTAGGGATGGAAGGGAAGTAGTGCTGTCAAAGTTAGATTTCTCTGGCTTTTTATACTCAAAATGGCATGACTACCTCATGGTTTATCCTAAAGATAGTGATGTGGACTCTTTGAAAGAGAAAATAAAGTTGTGATTATAAAGCACATATTCAGGGCATTAGGTTGTACTTGATACAGTCACTCTATTTAAGCTACCAAGGAGCACTTCCCAGGGGTTCAGCATGTTATTTTTACTTCCTTCAGTGTGAATTTGAGAGCAGAAGTTTGTGGTGTTTGACATGTTCTAAAGTGAAAGATTTTACTAGTCAACATCTTGAAGGCTCCCACATTCAAGCAAGTAGGTAAGAATTATCAAAGTTTAGGTAATGGACAGATTAGAGGTTTTTCTTTTCCTTGAAACCAGAATACACCATCAAGTTTAATATAGACAAGTAATTTTGTCACTAGAGTTTTATGTCATTTTGATGATAGGAACCAAAATCTACTCACTGATGTTTTTGTAAATATGAAAGAAAAACAGAAACTATTTCCACAGGAAAAAAGAGGATGGTAAAAAAAAACTTTAAAACCTGTTGGTTTTGTGCTGTGCCTTAGACATCTGCTATTGGGATATTTTAAGTTTTAAATATCTTTAGAATCTTCAAAATGATAATGGAGCTTATTGCACTATATTGTCCCCTTTAAAAAAAATCTTCAATTTGGAGTGTCTGTGTTTACTAAAAGACATGGAAGGAGTTTCTTATAATCTTATCCCACTTGTGCAAATTATTGCTATGAAGAAACACATAGGACTTTTGAATAAGAAGCTTAAAAGCTCAAAAACTCACAAATTTATACATGTTTTGTCTCTTCAACTTTCTTTTCCCATTAGCACTGTTTGGGGATGTATTTACACAGGCACTTTTCTCTTTCACAGTAAATAACCCACATGTTTAGAGTTATAGGTACCTTAAATATAATTACATTTATAACTATTTCCAGAACTTCTTTCCGTCCTTATTAATTTACTTGCACTGCATGTTATTCTTCTAATATATTCTTCAATTTGCTTCTGATTTTTAAAAATCATAATTGTATGTATTTCTGTTTTACAAAGTAAAAATAATATTTTGTTGCTTATAATAATATCTCCCTCATTTTTGTCTAACTCTGATTTCTATTTCTCTAAGACAAGCCCTTTCATCACTTTTGTTGTTTCTTCTTTTTATTTCTACCTTTCCAGATTACATTCTTAAATTGTTGATTATTACTGTTCTTTTGGTATTTCTGCTGACTTCTTATCATTGATGATGTTGAATTAGCATATAAACTACTACACATATCCGACCTCTTTGCATCCTTCCAATGTACTTATCTCCAAGTTTACACTATTGTGCCTGAGGCACATAGTATATTATGACTTGTATTTTAATTTTTCATGACATGCTTTAGTTTTGAGCTTCACTTTTTCCTGTCCTGGGTGTTTTGTTTGATTATTTGTTTGTACACACATCACCAGTTCATTCCCATTTTTCTTGCTAAATCTATAAAATTCCTCCCAGTGCTATTATAAAATACATCATCACTTATTAATTATCTTCAGGTAATCTATACATCCATTTTTGAGTTTCCATCCATTGTTCCAGTCTGTACTTTATTCTCTAGGTGTTTATCATCCTCAAGGTTCTCTCCACTGTACATCTATGGTAGATGCCCTTTTTTCCCTGGACTTCTATGTGTTCCTTTTTCTAGGTTTATTCCTTTAAATTGGTAGAGCACACACTCTGGTATCTTCCTGAAAGAGCTTCTGATTGAGGTACATTTTATTTAGAGTTTGCATTTTACCATTGTATTTAATCAACACTCTGGAAACATAATTCTAAGTTGAAAATTTTAATTTCTTTGCCTCAGAGTTTTGAAAACATTACCCAATTGTCTTCTAAATTTCTTTGTTGCCACTGAAAACTCAGTGTTTTCTGATTTTTTAATCATTTGAAGATAATTATTTGGACTTTTCAAAATTTATGATCTTTTCTCTAGTATTTTAAATTTTAAAGAGAGAAGGGAGCACATATATTATAATTTAAGTACAGAAAAATGTATTTAATCTTCTAGAATGAGGACATGAAAGAATGATTATAAATTTGATCTAGCAGTGTGCTTTATACTGCAGTATTTGTGGAACTGAAAGGTTTTCCAATTAATTTTTGGCATGAACTCAATTTTTTATTAAGTTAAATAGGAGAATCAAGATGTAGTTAGAAACTTTTTGGGTTTACCTTACCAGATTTGTAGCCAAATTTTACTCACTGGATAAGTAGCTGTGGACTTTGTCAATGAAGGTAAAAGGGTATTTGCTATCTTTGTTCTCTTATTATTACCTGTACACAGTGTGTAATGGTCAGATCAGGGAAAATAGTATATCTATGACTTTAAACTTATCATTTCTTTGTGTTGTGCATGTTCAAAATACTCTTTACTAGCTGTTTTGACATACATCTTTGTTAACCATAGTTACCCTACAATGCTATAGAACACTAATTATTTCTCCTGTCCAGTTGCACCCAAGTACCTATTAAATGTCCTCATTCCATCTCCCTTCCCCAAGTTCTCCCCAGCCTCTGCTAATCACCATCCTACTCTGTACTCCTATGAATTTGACTTTCTGAATTCTACATGTTGTTACAAATGACAGGGTTTGTCATTTTCCTTCTTTTTATGACTCTATAATAGTGTTCCTATATGACTACATAGCACATTTTTTTTTTATCTCATCCTCTATTGACATACTCTTAGGTTGATTCAATATTTTGGCTATTGCAAATAATGTAACGATAAAGGTGGCAGTGCAGATGTCTCTTCAAAACACTGATTTCCTTTCCTTTAGATACATACACAGTGGTGGAATTGCTAAATCATAGGATAGTTCTATTTTTAATTTTTTGACAAACCTCAATACTGCTTTCCATAATGACTAAACAATTTACAACTTTACCAACAGTATTTGAGAGAACCTTTTTTGCTACATCTTTGTGAACGTTTGTTATTCTTTTGTCTTTTTTTATAGTACTCAGGCTAACTGAGGTGAGATGGTACCTTATTTTGATTTTGATTTGCATTTCCCTAATGATTGGTGATGTTGAACAGTTCCCCCCACCGCCATATACTTGTTGACTATTTGTTTTAAGAAATGTCTATGCAGGTCTTTTTCCCCATTTTTTAATTGGCTCATTTGTGTTCTTGCTGTGAAGTAGAGTTCCTTATGTATTTTTAGATATTAACCTTTTGTCATACGTGTAGTTTGCAAATGTTTCCTCACATTCTGTAAGTTGTTTCATCACTGTTTTGGTTGTTTGCTCTTCTGTGTAGAAGCTTTTCAGTTTGATGTAATCCTATTTGTCTGTTTTTGCCTTTGTTGTCTGTACTTTTAAGATTTGTTAAACAAGCAAACATACAAAAAAACAAACTATTTGCCCAGCCCAATGTCATGAAGGTTTCCTGTTTTTGTCTAGTAGTTTGAAAGGTTTGAATCTTACATTTAAGTCTTTAAATCCATTTTGAATTGATTGTTGTGTATGGTGAGAGATAGGGGCCTAATTTTATTCTTTTTTTCTGTGAATATTTAGTCAATTCTTGTTCTTTTGCATCATTTTTATGAAAGTCAACACTTTATTATTATCTGGTTTTATAAGAGTTTAAAGAGGATGAGCTTATAATAAACCGATAAATCCAGTTCTTCATTCTACTTGAACTTTTTCATTTTTCCTTCTTATTTTAAGATTTTTACTATCTTATATGTTCTTAAAATCCTGTAGGATTTTGTGTGTCCTTTATATAGATATATTCTCTCTTTTGCAGAAGTTATACTTTAAGCAACTTGCATAGCGAATTAGGGCTACTGAGAATTCCTTGGCTAAATAAATTGCTCATTCTTAGCCAGATTAGTCACTTATATCTAGTTATTTTCAGTTTTCTCAGATGAGATGAATAGAAAACTTTCCTTTTTTGAAGGAAAGTTAGAAGACTCATTTTCTTTTCAGTTTTTAAAAATTAGTTTGCCAACAACTGTCTGTATGAAGAATATAGTAGGAAAGATCTTGCCATTTACATCACTTTTTTCATCTGGCCCAACTTTCCAGGGAAAGAAAATATTTTGGTATTCAATCTAAGTAGATATTTCATCAAAGCTGACTTTCAGCTAAATTTAAAGAGTAGATCCAAAACAGCTTCGTGTTTTAAAATAATCAAACTCTTAATGCCTATGCTGTCTAACACAAATAATTTTATCTCTGTGTTGCAGAGAGCAAGTCTATCCTGTCTTACTTAACTCACTTGAACCTTTGCTCTTAATATTAAATTTCTTCAACCTCCTTTGCTTCTTTTCTTCCCTCTTTAAATTCTTTGCTCTGTGAAAATATCTTTCTGGCCTGGATTTAATTCCAAAGGGAAGAACATTTAAAGAACAAATAGCCCTTCCTTGACAAATGGGCTCTCCTTAGGTTAACTGATTAATTTACTTCACCTAGTCTTCCATCATTTTCCAGGACAGTCTCCGTAAGAAGGATGACAGGATTGAAGAGCTGGAAGAAGCACTGAGAGAAAGTGTACAGATAACTGCAGAGCGGGAAATGGTGCTGGCACAAGAGGAATCAGCCAGGACCAATGCTGAGAAACAGGTCTGCAATTTTATACAGTTACTAGCAATGCTGCGGGTTAAACACAAGGTAAAACCCAATCAGTGTAGTTTAGATAAACCTAAATATTATATCTTCAAAAACTCTTCATCAAGTGTAAGTAGTTAGACAAAAATAATAAATGAAATATGGCTATGCATATTAATTCTTTAACTCATGTTAATGCAGAGATATCTGCTCCAATAATTTTAGGATTCATTAACATAATATAATCAGATGTATCTGGTGAGATGAAATGGAACTTGTCTCTGCTATGAGACTAGACACAACCTGGCTTTTAAATGGAATGAGAAAAAAGTGTTTCTGACTCAAAGATGTTAATAGCAAATAGTTTATTTTAAACCTTGATGTGTTCAAAAGAGGAAGTAAGACATAACAAGGGCTGTGGTTGTGGCTCAATGGTAAAGCACTTGCCTAGTGCTTATGAGGCACTGGGTTTGATCCTCAGTACCACATAAAAATAAACAAATAAAATAAAGGTATTGTGTCCATTTACAACTAAAAATATATTTTAAAAAAATATTATAACAAATTAATGTTGGTAGAAAATATGCAAGACTTAGATATTGTGGTCCTCAAGTCCCATATCAGCAAGCATGTCTAAACCTTGAGAGGACTTGAGGAATTCTTCTGTTGCTGTTTGTGGCATTTGTTTTGTATATTTTCTACTTTTTTCTTTTAGACCCCTGAACCTTTGCTTTTGACCTTTTATTGGAAACAATAACTAATGATTGGAGTCATGAGTGAAAGAAAAGAGTTTTAACAATTAAGATTGTAATCTCAGTTTCCATTCTGAGACTATGATTTGTGGTCTTGAATCTTTTTTGAATCTACCTCACACAGAGATTGATGACATTTCGTTTTTGTACTAATTATTTTCTATTTCCTTGTGAAAGAACAAATGTCATTCAGTTAAAAAGAGTTGAACTAGAGGATGACAGGATCTGTTGGGAAACCCCTTCCATCAGACCAGTGCTGTTATGGAGTTAAGGTAGTTGGGTAGAAAAGAAGGGTTTGTTGCAAGGCAGACATAGTGTAGTGTGTATCCCATAGGGTCCTTTCATAGCCATGTCAGCTGCAAGGATGTGGCTTCTTCAGTTCCAAATGTAAAACAAAAGACCAACTGATATTTCTTAACAAAGATGAGGGAAAATGGATCTTTTTGCAGAATGAGTATCTTTCGGTGCTCTTTCCTAGATAAATATCTTGGAACACTTTCATAATGCACAAGTAAATCTTGAATAGTGGAAGGCTTCAGAGAAAGGATAACCACAGCCATTGTCTATTGTCCAGGGTGTTAGGGATTTTGATTTTACTCTTTTTGTATTTTCTTCTTTATTTTTAACTCCTGTCCTGCAACATACACATGTTTTCTATAAAGATTTCCTTCTGTTCTGGTCTTGGGTGTTTAGTGACAAGTCATAAACATCAGAGATTCTGTGGAAGTTTTGGCAACTGACAATAGATTTTCTCATTATTATACATCAACTTTTGTGTTTTTCTTTTTAAAATATTATGTGAGCTGATTATAATGTGCTTTCTTGAAGTATGTTTTATTAACTTGTTTAAATTTAGACTTTATCCTTAAAGCAGTTTTTAAATCTGCAGAAAAATTGCACAGGAAATAGTTTTCACTTAATTTTTTCTCCACCTGTTATTAATGTCTTGCCTTAGTGTGATACTTGTGGTAAAATCAATGAACTAGTATTGATACAGTATTATTAATGAGTTCACAGTCTACATTGATTCACCCTTTATGATATACAGTTCCATGGATTTTTCCAAATGTGTAAGGCCATGTATCTTTTATTATAGTATTGCACAGTGTCTTCACTGCCCTAAAAATCTCCTGTGCTGTACTTTTTCATTCTTCTGGTATCTTTTTACTCTCTCAACATTTTTGCCATTTTCTTTACTGGAAATTGGAACCATATAGCATACTGCCTCTTCACATTAGCTTCTTTCACTTAGCCTTTGCGTTTAAGGTTCCTCCCCATCTTTTCATGACTTAATAACTCCTTTCATCTTTGAATTATAGTCTATTGTATTGGGTTTTCCAGTTTGTTACCCCTTCACCTATTGAAGAATATCTCGTTTGTTCCAACTTTTCACAATTATGGATAAACCTACTGCAAACTTCATGTGCAGGTGTTTGTGAGAACATGAACTTTCAGCTTATCTGGGTAAATATCTAAGAGTATGGTTTCTGCATTGCACGGTAAAATCATAGGGTAAGATAGTTAGCTTTGTAAGAAACTGCCATACTATCTTCCAAAGTGGCTATATAAAATTTGCCTTTAATTGCATGCTTTTTTCCTTCTCTTTCCTGTTCATCTTGTTTTCCACCATTCTGCTACTTACTGCCTTTCTGAAGCTGTTGAGTGAAATATTGCATGAGACCAGTCATTTGGGCTTTAAGTGGTTCAAGGTATGAAGAAAATGCTTGTATGTTTGTTCTAATGAAGCCTTAAAACCGTCACCCACTGTTCCCTCCTCCCTCTCTTCTGTTCTTATTCTTATCCTTTTCTGTCTTCTAACTGCACTGTTAATTTTACTTACCTGTGTTAATTGTGTGCACTATCACCTATAGATAATTTTTTTAAATGCTTTAAATGGATGAAGTTTTTTGGCTAAAGACATTATTCTGATTATCTTTCTTAGGTTATAAAATTATTTCTTAAATTTAGCCTCCTGAGGTGAAATGAATCCCACTAATAGAAACAGGATATCTTCATCTCTTGATTCCTAAAAGTAAAATTTAATGGGAACCATGGCTCATGTTAAAAAAGACATAGAGCTGGCCTATTGCCACACACCTTTAATCTCAGTTACTCAAGTAGGCTGAGGCAGGAGGATTGCAAGCTTGAGGCCAGCCAGATCTTCTCTGTAAATAAAATAAAAAATGGGGTGGAGCTTGTGTTCAGTGCCAGAGTTCTTATCTAGCACCTGCGAGTCCCTGGGTTCAATCTCTAGTACCTCAAAATAATATAATAAAAAAGAGAACTGTCTCAAGTTTGAAGAGGGAAAAAAATCCCAAAGAGAAGCTTTTTTTAAAAAAAGATTTTCCTATATTCTTACAGAATCTCCATGCATTTTTTATTATTATTCATAATACACTTATACATTGCTTAACCTAGGGGATGTGTTCTGCGTTCTGAGAAATGTATCATTAGGCAATTTCATCATTGTGTCTACATCATAAATTGTACTTACACAGACGTAAATGGTGTAGGTCAGTCACTTTGCAGTGCTCTCTTGATATATTCAAGAGATGGGTTAAGCATGGGCTGTGTGAGTCTGCTGCCCACATAACATGGCATAATGCTTTTCAGCAAACTTTCTTTAATTAGTAGAAGTAAACTTTAAAAACAACAACAAAAAGTACACTATAGCAAAAAAACAGTAATATGATCCTTTATTATCATATCAGATATCACATACTGTACATAATTGTGTTGCTATGCTTTTATATGATAGAAATACAGTAGGTTTATACCAGCATTATCACAAACATGGAAGTATGCCTCCCAGTGTTTTTCAGCTTATTGTAATCATAGTTTATAAGTGGTTTGTTCTTGAATGAGGCACCATTATGCCAAAATTTAAAATTCCAAATGCCAGAAATTCAAAGACATTGTGTAGTCAAAGTAGATGCCCACCTACCAGTGGTGGCAAATTGAAAGATTTAAGTAAAAAAAACCCAGGGGAAAACTTAAGGACTCTTTTCTTTTGTTTTATCCTTTTCCACATCTGGTGAGTTTTGTGTTTTGTTGAATGTGAGAGTCTGTTTACTTAAAATTTGGACAAACAGGTAAAGAAGTCTCAGAATGGCCAGGAATGAATATCCTGTAATATCCTTAGTTCAGCCATGCTTGTGTGAACTTAAAAAAATTTTAAGTATTTTCAGTGATATTCTTTGTGGTTAAATTTATTTTTTTTGTTATCTAAGAGTTTTTAAAAATGCCAGTAAAGTAAGAAGACTTTTTTTTATAGTTCATTAAACTGATTTTATGAACTATTTTACTTTTATCCAGTAAACTAAAGGTATATTCTATCAAAATAACTGACATTTACACATAAGTTCTGATTTTTGTTTTAAAACTCAATTTTTAATAGTGATACTCATTTTTTCAAGTGGTCTTTTGGAAGAAGGAGGCCTGGGTATTAAACCTGGGACCTCATACATGCTAGGCAAGAACTCTTATTCCTGAGTTACATCTGCCCCAGCCCTTTGTATTTAATTTAAAAAAAAAAAATTTTTTTTTAGTTGTTGATAGACCTTTATTTTATTTATTTGTATAGGGTGCTGAGAATCAAACCCAGTACCTCACACATGCCAGGCTTGTGCACTACCACTGAGCCCCAGCCCCTACATTTAATTTTGAAACAATCTCTCACTAAACTACTCAAACTGACCTCAGATCTGCTACTCTCCTGCCGTAGCTTCCCAGGCAGTTGGGATTACAGGTGGGCACCACCACCCAGCTTCGAATGGACATTTTGACATTATTTGTAATTTTAAGATTAGTATAAATTCTTCACTTTCAAAATCATAAGATATTATCTGTTAAGTATAAATTTTTGACCTTCAAGAACTTACAATTTTCTCTATGGTTTACTAGATAATTACAGTCTGCCCTCTATCTCTGTGAGCTTCACATCTGCAGCTACAACAAACTGTGATTTGAAAATACTTTTTTTAAAAATGTGACAGTATCAAACATGTATACTCTTCTCAGTTTTCCCAAAACAACACAGTATAACAATTGTTTATATGGCAGGTGTGACTTGGATATTGTAATTAATGTAGAGAAGATTTAAAGTACACAGGGGGATGTGAGTAAGTCATGTGCAGATACCCATGTTATAGAAGGGACTTGAACAGCCACAGATTTTGGTGTTCACAGGGATCCCGAAACCACTCCCTTATGGATAGTTTTCTATTTGGTATAAATTGACTGGATTAGAACCTGCTTTAGATTGAGTACTCAGAAAGATCCCCTGAGAATGGGACATTTAACAAGAGCCCTGAAAACTGAGAAGTTTGCCTTGTGATGAGTAGGAGAGGAATCAGCAATTATGATGGTAATAAGAACTGGACATTTCTGAGTAAGACTTCTATTACTTTGGGAGCTATGTATGGTATTCAGTACCTATGGAAGCCTTGGCAAGAAGTTTTGTGTTTTTTAAGAGTGGTGGAAGCCATTGAAGAGTTTTAATAGGACATCATTTGATTTGTGTTTTTAAAAGATCATTCCATCTGCTGTGGGAGAATGAATTGGTGGATAAGTGTGAAAGAAAAGTCAGATGAGTTATTAGAGTGTTTAGGCCAGATATCTTCAGACTGAAGTGTCTGTACCTGGAAATGCAGGAATGCTCTCAAAGGATTGAAGTTTTTCAGTTTCCAAACATAGCTTTTCCTCAAATTGATCTTCTCTAACAGCACGTACAATGTACGGAATCACCTTTTCTATTTTTCCTTTCATAACTATGCACCTCTCACTTTTCAACTATGCACACCTCTCCTCACTTTCTGACCTGTATTTTCCTTGGGGGAAAAAACTGTGCAATTTAACAAAGAAATAGTTCAAAACATTAGTATCAAGAAAATGAATGATTATGAACTGGTTGTTGTTTCCAGTTCTTTGTTTCCTACAGAATTGACAGAGGACCTAATTAAGTTGCCAAATGATACAATGTTAAAAATAATTGTTTATGATAGGTATATAAATCTAAAGTATATAGAGTATATAGTATCTATATATCTATATAAAGTATATAGAGTATATAATTTTAAAGAAGTGCAAGGAATTGAGTAACACTGCTCCTCTTTTTTTTTTTTATATGAAACAGGTTTCTCAGTGCTCACACTTATAAAAGTGAAACACACCAATAGAATTGATGCTGAACCCTCTATCTTTCTAACAAGTATTATTTATCAAGGGATATCTTTTTTTTTTCTTGTGATGCTAGGGATGAACCCAGAGCCGTGCCCATGCCAGTAAGCAGTCTACCATTGAGCTATACCTCCTATCAAACTAAAAATAACTTATGAGTTTCATTAGTCCCATTCAGATAAATATGTTTAACAAGACATTTTTTTAATATTTATTTTTTTGTGGTAGGTGGACACAATACCTTTATTTTTATGTGGTGCTGAGGATTGAACCCAGTGCCTCACACGTGCTAGGCGAGTACTCTACCACTGAGCCACAATCTCAGCCCTAACAAGACTTTTAATAATGTTTGTATTAAATGTTCATATTGTTTTTATTCTATATTATTAGTAATTATAATTATAAATCAATTCATGATATTTTTAACAGTTATGACTAGAAGAAATTTTTAAATGATCAGATTTAAATTTATACATGTATTTTTGTTAAGAAAAATATGAAGGATGATCCATACAAATAGCCTAATGTAAAATAAACTAAGTTACTATAAAATTCCAGGCATAAGGGAATGGAAACAAAGTCAAGAGAAAAAGGAACATCTAAAGAACAGTTTGACCTCCTACTTTTGAAATGAGTAATGATGGATATCAATCACTATGGTATTTATATCTCATTAGGTACTTTTTTTTTTTACTTTTGTCATTAGATACTTTATTTCTTAATAAACAATTTTTAAAGAACTCAAGAAATTACATTTTTTTGCTTCTCTTTATGATATAAAATATTTATATATTTGAAAAGTGAGTGACTCACCTGAGACGGAAATTCAACCAAGAGATTTTATTGGGGACTGCCTGAAGGGGAAGAAAAGGAGAGGCAGAGAGCAGCCGCGTGAGCCTGCAAGCTTCAGTTTAAGAAGGGTTGCTTTGGTGACATGTCCGGTGGTGATTGGGAAGGTGACTCAGAAATGAGTGAGCAGACACTGTGTCTCGTGGGGATTGGTTGAGAATACTTTTGACTTTGCCACCCTTCCAGCTTGGCACCCTTCAGAGAGGATGCAGAAGGGTAAGGGATTATGTGATGTTCTTCTTGAGAAATGGAAACTTAACTTCAGCAAGGAGAAACCTGAATGGGGGGAAATAAAACCAAAAGGGAAGGTCTCCCACACACCCAACATTCCTCCCTTTTTGTTTTTGTGTTGGAAGCAGGGCGTTGAGATTGTCTGGCTACTTCCTGCTGAAGAGGGACGATGAGTGTGAAGGAAGGGAGGGATGGTCAAGGTGTGGGGACAAGAGAAGCATAGCTGTAAAGGCCAGGGCTTTATGATATAAAATTTCCTTGGGGCTGAAATTGATGAAAGTTCCTTGAAGCCATAGGTCATGGATAGTCTTGATCCAATCCTTGTCCCTGCAAATGGGGGGAGTCAACCAGCTATCCTGTTGGAGGGCCTCCACAAACTCCATGAACCAGGTGCGCCACACACGATGAGCCTAAAAACACAAAAGATACCTGAAGGCAAGGAGAAGAAGAG